AGACAGAGTCTCACTGTGTCTTCCCTCAGTAGACTGCCATGGCATCACAGCTCACAACAACCTCAAACTCTTGGGTTTAAGCGATTCTCTTGCCTCAGCCTCCCAAGTAGCTAGGACTATAGGTGCTTGCCACAAAGCCAGTCTATTTCCCAGTACTGATCAGCACAGGAACTTTGACCTGCTCCGTTTCCAACCTGGGCTGGTTCACCCCTCCTTAGGCAACCTAGTGGTTCCCTGCTCCCAGGAGGTCACCACATTGATGCCGAACTTAGTACAGACACCCAATCAGAATAGCATGCTATAGCCCAGAACTTCTGGACTCAAGCAATCCTCCAGTCTCAGCCTCCCAAGTAGCTGGGACTACAGGCATGTGCCCCAGCTATTTTCTTAATGCAATTGTCATTGTTGTTTAGCTGGCCTTGGGCCAGCTTGAACCCACCATGTTCAGTGCATGTGGCTGGCACCATAACCATTGTGCTACAGGCACCGAGCCTTTCTCATATTAATTTATGTCTATGTGAGCCCAGTCCATAAGCTTGTATGTCTCCAGTAGTAAGAAAGTTTCCTCTCAGAAACTCTACTCAAGTCTCTCTCTCTCCTTCTGTCCATCATGAGAGGGACCCACTTCAACTCTATTTGGGAGTGCTCTATGCTCAGCACCTGTGGCTCAGTGAGTAGGGTGCCAGCCACATACACTGGAGCAGGCGGATTCAAATGCAGCCCCTGCCTGCCAAACCTGCCAAAAAATAGCTGGGTGTTGTGGCAGGTGCCTATAGTCCTAGCTACTTGGGAGGTTGAGGCAAGAGAATCACTTAAGCCTAAGAGTTTGGCAGATGTAATGAGACTCTGCCTCAAAAACAAAAAGTGCTCTAAGTAAACTTGGCACCTGTAGCTGAGCGACTAGGGCTCTAGCCACATACACGGGGGCTGGCAGGTTCGAACCCGGCCTGGGCCTGCCAAACAACCACAACTATAACCAAAAAATAGCCGGGCGTTGTGGCAGGTGCCTGTTGTCCCAGCTACTTGGGAGGCTGAGGCAAGAGAATCACTTAAGCCCAAGAGTTTGAAAGTTTGAGGTTGCTGTGAGCTATGACACCATGGTATTCTACCAAGGGCGACATGGTAAGACTCTGTCTTTAAAAAAAAAAAAAAAGGTACTCTAAACATTCTCTTTGTTCTTCCTAAATAAAATGTGTCTTTGTTACAAATTTTTAAAATAATAATATTCAAGAAGAGACATTTTCAGTTCTTTTTTTTTTTTTTTTTTT